TCCAGCTAACTGTCACTGGCAGTGAGAAGGAACTGAGGGGGTGGCGGGTCGACAGGGCTCTCTATTGAGCACCATGAAGGTACGACTCCTGGGGGCACCCAGGTCGATCTGATGGATACTGCTAGGGGAAAAATCTTCCGTCAGCCATGCACGCGGAATGCGTATACCTAATTGGAATTGACATGAGCAATCACTCAAAGAACTACTAATATTCTGCAACAAAGTATGTGAGAAGTCCTCAGAATCTGCAGTATTTCCACAGTCATGTATTTCTGTCTTTCCTAATACAATTATAGAAACATAAGTCTGGAAGGGACCTTGAGAAGTCATCAAGTCCAGCCCCCCTGCACTGAGGCAGGGCCAAGTAAACCTTGACCATCCCTGACAGATGTTGGTCCAACTTGTTCCTAACAACCTCCAAGGATGGTGATTCCACAACCTCCCTTGGAAGCTTATTCCAGAGCTTTACTACACTTGTAGTTAAAAGGTTTTTCCTAATATCTAACCTAAATCGTCCTTGCTGAAGATTAAGCCAAGCACTTCTTGTCCTACCTTCAGTGGATGTGGAGATCAATCGATCGCTGGCCTCTTTACTAACAGCCCTTAACTGCTGAAGACAGTTACTAAGGTTCCCCACCTCCATCCCACACCTTTTCTCAAGAGAAAAACTTGTCCAGTTTTTTTTAACCTGTCCTCACAGGTCAGGTTTGCTAAATCTGTTATCATTTTTGTTGCTTACTGCTGGATTTGTTCCAAGTTGTCCACATCTTTCCTGAAGTGTGGTGCCCAGAGTTGGGCACAGTACTGCAGCTGAGGCCTCCCCAATTGCCAAGTACAGCAGGACAGTTACCGCCCATAGCTTACACACTTGTTACTATGCCCCAGAATATTAGCCTTTTTCACAGCTGCAGCTTAAAACACCCATCTATTGAGCACAACTGTGAAAATTTAAATTGCTTTACAAAATAAACTGAGGATATGTGTTGAAATGATTAAAGAAAATAAACATTTAATTCTGCCATGTCTCATGTTAAGACTGGCACTAGCTGGACTGGAATGCTGAGACTGTTTTCCTAACACGCTGCCGTTATGATTTACAGCATATTTTGACCATATTCGATAATTGTTTAACTACAACTGAAGAATAGCAAGGCTTGTCAGAAGACATAGCTTTTCATGTGCATAGACTACCTCCCTAGTGCAAATTCCTTTCTATTTTAGGACACTCAGCTGGATTGTTTTACTTTAGACAAGCATGAATTAGAATTAAAAACATTTGTGGCATGTTTATTCAAAGCAGCCTAGGACACAGAGATACTGGAAGCTTTGGTGTTATCCCCCTCCCCCCCCACTGATGTGTGATGTACTTAGGTTAAACATATGAACTCTTTCTTTAAAGCATATTTATGTTTTTCATCTGACGTGATAATCTCCAACTGCTTGTGTCATCTGTTAAAATTCTTTAGTGCAGAGCTGTTAAAAGGAAAACTCATTTTTCTGGCCTACTTATTAAGCTGTATAGGACGGTTAAAATTTTTCCCTTCTCCGTGCTCATCTCTTCCCCACATCGATCAGATTCTGCAGGCTGAGGCGCATGCAATACCTTGGTCAACTTCAACTGGATTTCACAGGGGTGTAAGGGTCTATTTGTACAGATGAGATTGCAGGATTGGGTCCTAAGTCTGCAAAGGTATTCACACACTTACTGACCCCTATGCCTGGACAGCATCCCATAGGATTTCACCCCTTTGCAAGAGGTGCCCAACCACAGATTAAAATGAAGACTTAACTTCAGCTGAGAGATCATCAAACCACCTGGCCTCAATGCCTGAGTAAGACTTAGTGAGAGGTGACCAGCCAAAAGGAGGAGAATTCTTGGCAGGCTTCTGAGCAATGCCTTTTATTTTACATGGCTCAGCTTTCAAGCAGGAACCCAGGAAGGAAAGAAACAAATTGCTGGTGTCAGAAGAGTAGAGAGTCCTTGGGTGCCTCTAGCAGAAGGGACTGCTTTTGCTGGTGCACAGCCCACAGCCCATATAGTGGAGCTGGCTTAGGCTCTGTTTCCACCACGCAGTGGCCTCTCCCAGAAGATGCTGATCTAACAAGGCAGTCACTGGCATGCAGTGGTGCTGCAGCAGAGTCTGGTCCAAACATCAGCTTTGCATGAAACTAGCACACGCCAGGGGAGGAGAGACCTGAGACACAGGAGGACTTCAAACTAGATGTGCATCCAGAGGTGGAATTCCTGCAAAAAGTCACTGTTGGGGAGCAAGAAACAATATAGCTGGGTTTGGACTGACAAGTGTGGTGACCAAGAATGGAGGATTTGATGGCCCAGCAGGTTCATAGATGAAGGTAAATTACCTTTAGCCAGCAGCCCACAGCATACCCTACAGTCCCCACCCATATCCATTGTATGCTAAATGGTGGCTCAACCCCTTTGGAGGCTGGTCACACACCTCAAGTGAAGAGCTGGCTTCAGCCAGTCTACTCAGCTTGTGAGGGACCTTCCATAGCTAGAATGTATGGCTGGAGTCAGGTCCCTGCCATTTGGAGTATGGCACTGGATGTAGCAAAACTTGGTTATACTTTACTATCCTTATGCTGAGGCAAGGTGAGGAGCTGCCATGGCCAAGATGAAGATTGCTACCATAACCCAAGGCTCTGCAGCCTTTTCCCAGAACTGTTCAGAAAATGTCTCACGGTCGCCATCTCTAGAGTATGAAAATAGGTTGGACTGTCTTTAGGAACACGTTGGCTAATAGTAGTAGATAGATTTAACACTTCTAAAAGCCATCTGTTCATGATGGACCCTAGACTTCTTGTTGGGTTGATAATAACCAGCTAAGAAGTTTTTAAAAAGGTACAGAACCCATAAATGCTACTGTTTAAAATCTGTTGGCTATCTTTTTAAAACATTTATCTCCTTGGCTAGACAAGGCCTGCGTAGCAAAGGCAGTAAGACTTGGGTTGTGGAGTACCTGCTATAGTTACATAGGGGAGCAGTTTGAGGGCAGGGTTTACTCATCCATCATGAATGCTGTAGTACAGAATTCTGTGTATGAAAATGATGCATTTTAGCACTCTAGGCTGCATTTTTTAATGTATTTTTTTCTGGTTTTGAAGTTTATATAGAACTACAGAAGACAAACTGATCTGTGAGCAGTTGGCTGGTCCCATGGTGCTAGCTGTAGCTTCTGAGAGAAACAGAACAGATGTGATAAGTGAAAAGCAAAAATACTTCCCACAGAAGACAGGACAACACAATGTACTAACATAGCTTAAAAAAAGAAAAAACCCTACTGTATAACTTTCCTGTAACAGTGTTACCCATTAGTGAGTGGGAGGTGATGAACCTATGAAACAAACAGATATTTGGGGAAGTGTGTCAGTTTACTACTGCACCATGTCTGAAGCATCATAGTCCTGTAATTCCATTTTCAATGTCATTAGAGCTGGACTTGCATTGTCATGAACCTCAGTGCCAGATGCCAAACTTCAGGGTATGTCTACATGAGAAAGTTACAGCCATTTAAGATTTTAAAACTGTTAAACAGGTGCAAACAATTTGTGAAGTCAACTAAATCACCTTAATAAAAAGAAATCACACCTTAACTTGAACCCATGCTATTGTGTTTACAAGACCTAAACAAATAATTAACTGAAGTTTGTGTTCGAGCAGTTGTTCAACTGCTCATTTTAAAAATCAAACTTACACTTTGGAAGACTTCTTTATAGAGCACACAATTGAATCATGTGCCATTAAGTTACAGAAATCTAGATTTCCCCTCGGAGGCACAAGACCAAAGCATCCTCTTCAACTTTCCCCAGTGCAAGGTTGCTTAAAGTATTGCATTGTCTCACCGCATTATAGTTTCCTAAACTTCTCAATTGTCAGTGCAGAAGCACTAGCTGTTCAATGTCAGTCACATTTAGTGTTCCTGGACTTTGGTATTTAACTGTTGTAGTGCCTTGCCTTTTGCTTTCAAGAAAGACAGTTATTGAAATGCACTGAATTTTTTTAAGAAACTAAAACACAGCCCCGCCCCAAGCAGCCTGGGATATTGCACATCTGTAGTCAGTGTCAAAGTTTCTCTAGCTGCCTCAATTGTTATACAGACAACTGGGTGTTGAAAAGTGGAGAATGTTAAGCATCTATTTGTCATTTAATCATGAATCTTATTTAATTTGTGACATAGGAGCCTAGGAAACTGGTATGGTTTTAAGCAGGGATGACCATTTACTCTGAAAGAGTTAAAAACTGATTTTCAACTGAAGGCCAGAAAGGGGAAAAAAAAAATTATTGCATAGGCTTATATAAAGCCTATGCAATGAGCCTAGCTGCACAAGCCTGTGGAATAGTCAGTCAACTGTGGCTGAAAGTTCTAAAGCTAAGAACTGTATTTAAGATTCTCTAACAATCTCTAAAAGAGGAGCTAAAGCTTGACTATATCAGTGGATGTGCTGGTAGAGAGTTGTTTATCCTTCATATATCTGCTATTAAGTCTTCGGCCTGGTCCACATGGTGGGGGGGAGGGGGGAGAAGGGGGGAAAGGAGAGAGAAAAAAATCGACTTAAGATATGTCGACTTCAGCTAAGCTATTCTAGTAGCTGAAACTGCGTATCTTAGTTCGACTTCCCTCACGTCCTCATGGCGTGGGGTCGATCTATTTTTAGCAGCTTCTTCTAGTTTGCATTAAAATCTTTTACTAGTCAGTGACATTAAAATCAGACTTAATCCATTAGAGAAGTGGACTAGCCACCTGTGCTGACAGTTGCATAAGTATTTCAGCTCTCATTTGTATTACCATAAAACCTAGAAGAGCATGTTTACTGTACACTATGCAATGCTAAACTTAGCCTTGCAAAACTGTCTTGAAAGCATGCCAGCTAAATCCACTGCACATCCTTTACTAGGTCTATTTGGCATAGAGCAACCACCAATACTTTAACATCCATTCATGACAGTTTTAAATTCATGTACACCAGAGAATAGCCAGTTATTTCAATACTTTATTTTAAAACAGTTAGGTCACAACACTAAGCTCAGCCCATTCTGCCAATATACAAGCTACAAATGCTTGTCTGACAGTCAAGGGTTAATCTTTAGTAGCATACTTGAAAGTGAGTAAAAATCCATATAAAATATTCAAATAGTTTCCATAGGAACACAGATAATGTGACCCCCATCTCCTAGTCATCCATTTTGTTGCATTTATGCTGACCCTAGACTTAAAAAACAAAAAACATTTAAAAATTCTAGCAAGACTTAAGTTAATGGTCCCCAAAATGCCCTAGAGATTCAATTAATAAACTTGCAATTAAACAATATCTATACATTAATACTAGTTGAAGCACAAGTTGCCGGATGATGTTCAATTCCACTTTCCCAGGCACAAGACAGTGGCAAAGTACTGACATCCTGCTCCTCTTCTTCAGCTAGGAAGCCTTGCTCCTTAATCTGTTGCATTAGTTGCCTAAATAAGAGGAAAAAAATAAGTCAGAAAACAGTCTATATATTTTACCCTGATTTAATGGAGTCCAGCATCAAAAAGGATCTTGTTGGGCAGGTCAAATTATGATCTAACTTCATCCCCAGATCTACTGATAACAGGTTTGCTCAGAAGTAGAATGTGAATCATGAAGTAACAGCTTTAAATTAGAATTGCATTCAGCATCACTGAATAATTAGAATGACTTGTTTGGGCACATTCAATTACTCAGTCTCCCCTCCACACCTCTAGTTATACCCCCATCCACCCAATTTTGCTGGCAGCAAAAGCCCTAATGTAGATGCAGTTATTTTGGGTGGCATGTGATTTTTCCACTCCTACTTGACACCAGCAGAATTTAAGTGCAGACCAGGCCAGAGGAATGTTAAACTTCGTTACAACAAACTGAGCATTTCACTTAGGTGTTCCCTCACTACCCAAGGCTCTTGAAGATGTCAGTCTACATTAGTTCACACTTCTTTCAAAATACAACGTTTCCAAATATGAATGCAGAAAGCTAGACACTTAAAATGAAATCTTGCAATTTAAATGGTGTTAAAGGGGCTAAATGCATACCAGCAGGCTACATGTTGGGATACCACTAATTTAAGTTGGACCAGGTCTACACAGTCTTCTGGCAGCATAGCTGTGTAACATAAGTGGTGTGAAGAGGTACAATCCCTGACTGACCCAGCTATGCTGGCAGAATTGTGCTTTTACTGTGTAGCTAGTTTCACTCATGAGGTGGTTTTGCAGTACTGGTTTAAAAAAATAAAATAAATAAAAAAATAAGGGGGGGTAACTGCCAGTATAGCTACATCCACACTAGAGAGCTTAAGCACCCCAGCGTAGAAATAGTCACTCTGGCAAATGGAAAAATTCTCTTCCTGTCAGATGATCACAATAGTAATTCAATATATTATCTGTAAAGCAACCCAAGTGACTGACACATTTTTAAGCCTACTGTTCACCTGATAAGTTTCTCAGCCAAATTTGTGGTTTTACAAAAAGACCTCCCCCACCCCCATTTTAAAATTAACACCTTAGCTGCTATGTGAAAGACCCATGCAAAGGGATGACCTACTACACAGGGGAAACTATATTCTCTAGATACAGTGCTAACAAATGCAATGAGTTTCACTAAGTAATGTTATGGTGGAATTTTTAGAAGCATTTAACGAGGCAGTGTGTCCAAATCCCATTGAAAACAAATGGGAGCTGATATTTATTTCCTCTGGCCCCCTTAAAAAAAACAAACACCCACAAACTCAGCAATGTAGTTTTAGGCTACTATAATTAGAGAGCATCCCTTTAAATCCTGCTAGCTATAGAAGACAATTCTACGTGAAGTAACATTGGTCAGTTCATAATAAATGGACCTTTGGATAAATAGTCAACAAGGAGTTATTCACTTGAAACAAAACTATCAAGAGCTCTTGGCAGACCTAGTAAAGGTCTCCCATCTAAAGCAGAAGTGCGACAAGCTACTAACCATGCTGGCCTTGACATCACATAATTTATTGCTGGCCGCTGGAATCCATTGAAAGTGGAAGCAGCTGCAACTGTGTAGGCACCCATATTTTCAAATAGCATCCAATCACCAACTTGCAACTCTGGCATATCAAAGCGCTCAACAATACGATCCAGGCCATCACATGTTGGTCCCCAAATGCTACAGGAATAACAGCCCTCATCTGGTTTAGGTCTCTGAAGAGAGAAGCAAGTTACAAATTACTTTTGACTACCACTTCTCTTACACAGGACTAAAGCAGGAGTTTTCCCAAACAAATAGCTGCCATGATTAAGGTGATTAAAAGCATAGAACTCCAGCTCTAAAGTGTGCAAGAAAAACAGCAGTTGGCAGGGCCTCCTACATAAGTGATCTTCAACTTTGGAATCTGCTCCACTGAATGGCCAGAGCTCACATTTGCCAACCCAGGCATTTGTCAGGAGTGGTGGCAGGATGGTAAAGATGGTGGTGGTGGAATATGAAGGCATTAGGCTTGAGTTTATTTGCACAGTTGAATGAGCAGTCTATGTTGATTTAGCATCTGGAGCAGAGGTGGGCAAACTACGGCCTGCAGGCCACATCTGGCCTGCGGGACTATCCTGCCTGGCCCTTGAGCTCCCCGGAGGGGAGGCTAGCTCCTGGCCCCTCCCCTGCTGTCCCCCATCCCCTACAGCCTCAGCTCGCTGTGCCGTCAGCGCTCTGGGCAGCGGGACTGTGAGCTCCTGCCAGGCAGCGCAGCTGCGAGAGCCGCCGGCCTGCCCCAGTGCTCTAGACTGCACAGTGCAGAGCACTGGGACTGGCAGCTGAGCTGCATGGTAAAGGTGCAGGGAGGTTGGATAAGGGGCAGAGGTCCTGGGTGCCAATCAGGGGACAGGGAGCAGGTGGATAGGTGTGGGAGTCCCAGGGGGCCTGTCAGGGGACAGGCGGTTAGATAGAGGGTGGTGGATAGGGGGCAGGAGCCAGGTTGTTTGGGGAGGCACAGCCTTCCTTATCTGGCCCTCCATACAGTTTTGGAACCCCAATGTGGCCCTCAGGAGAAGAAGAAAAAAAATTTTTTGCCCACCCCTGATCTGGAGGTATACTGTACCTTTTGCAAGACTGGCTTAACATGTGCATGATCATATAGGATGCAATTGAATGATCCATACACTCCATCATTCACATAGTACATAAGAGTTTTGCCATTAATATCATCCTCATCTAAAAGGAGATGAAAATATGACAATAAGAACCTTTGGAAAGTGAGTTTTCTATCTGGTTGCAAATGAGATTAGGAGATCTAGTTTTACATACCATCAGAACCTGACTGCTCCTTTAATACAACTTTTTTTGCAATTATGTTAACGGCCAGTGTGAAAGCTGATGCAACATAGTATCTGCCAGGCTCTGCAATAATTCTTATTCCAGAATCACAAGGAAAGTATTTGTCCAATGCTGGATTGATTACACTTGTGATCTAATCAAGAGACATGTAAGATTGTTAGTGACTGTACAAAGTATCAAACTAAAAAGGTTATTAAACTGGCTATTGCAAGAGCCAAAAGGATAAGAATCTAAAACAGCCCAGTCATAAAGCGCTAAAATCAGTACACGGCATTAGCTATTTGCATGGTCTAAAAGCTTTAGTGTCTCCCCATGTTGTTTTATTCCATGTTTAAGCTTTTACTGGTATGAAATTAGTACCTTGCTGTCTGCAAAAACTAACAGTTATTTCAACATGTAGTTAATAAAGGCATAAAATAAATTAAAAAAAAAAAAAAAAACTTAATAAAAAATGTCTCAGAAATTAAGAGATTTAAACTAAAGGAGAATCACTCTGGATGGCTTCCCACAAGTCAGTTTGAGCAATTGACCTTTCTGGAAGTTCAATTTTCACAGAATCAGAGTTGTTTTGTTTCTAGATCAGATATACACTTTCCTAGTCACAAATTCCTCTTATTTTTAGTAGGCTAAACAAATTAAAAGAAGGATATAAAAGGTCTAGAAAATTATTCCTCTCTCTAGTTATTTCTGGAAGCTTCACAGATTTGACTATTTGTGTATGTATTAACAGACGTAGAAATATGAACTCCTTTTTAAATCAGGATTTAGACTTCAGTGTACTGCATCTGATCTTACTGAACAGCACCCTTCCTGTATTGTTTAGCTGGTTCTACACTAGGGCCAGCATTAAGAATCATACAGGGCAAGGCAGCAATTTCTTCATATTAGAAATTGAAAACAAGACTCCTGTTTTCTTGCAGAAGAGTCAATGTTAGATTTCCCACAGCAACTGTTTCCTTAGTCACAACAGCATCTCAATTGATAAAATAAGGCTATGTCACTAAAATAGAGGCCCCAATTTTTACTCCAGAACAGCCTTAAGACATCAACTTTGGGTCTAGCACCTGTGTAATCATTACCATGCTACTGTGGGAAAGGAATGCAACTAAGGTGATCTCCATGAGCCCTATGGGAATAATGAGAAAGGGAGGAGCTCTCTGAACCACTGGGGGATAGATGGGGAGGATGAAATGGTGTAAAACGGACAATAATTCAGTTAAGTAATTGTTTGTCCTGAGAAAATATTTGAATGTGTCCTTCCTCAATGGCCATGGAGGGACAGAATTAATGGCCTGTTGCAAATGGGGGCCATTTGGGGTGATGTGATATATATGTGGTTGCTAGGAATGTACACAACACTTGGGGACACAATTCCACCAGCATCTGGCACAGTTACATCTGCACACTGCCAGACTATGGTGCACATATGGATCTGTGGAACGCACTGCTGTGCACAAGCGAACCAGTGCATACTACCCATGCAAAATGGTTGAGCTCGTTTGGACAATACCCCATTTTTCTGTAAATATCCAGTGGACTCATGATATGGACAAAAGCATGTGAAGACTGCAGGAGCAGCTCACTGCAACTGGACACCACTTAAAATATATTCTCCAAAATGGTGTTAAAATTTTGACCCATCAAAGGAGGAGAAGCAGTTTTTTGGGTGGTGGCGAGGATGTTGGACTATACTACAGTGGTCAGGACTCTCAGTGTTGCTGTGGGTTATCACAGTGGCTGGTGTATTGTTAAGTATACTTGTGTTACGTTGTATATGGAAAGCAGTCAAGAGGGGCACAACTCTCTAAAGAACGGCCACTATTAGAACCTGTAAGTAATTTAGTAAGCCCGCCCCGCAATGTACTAGACAACCTGGACCCAACCTTCTCAGGCCCACTATACTGGGAAGTCTGGAACACTAATTGGAATAGATGTAGTATGCCTGTACGAGAGAAGGTGCAGGGCATTGTACTACACAAGGGGCAGTGGGACAGATGGAGCATTCACACATTGATGCCTGGCCCTATCAGGAAATGTGTCGCCATATGTCTTAAGTTTTTCTAGGGATACCTGGGCAGGAGGATTCCAAAAGAAAAAGAAAGGGGTGGAGTGTAAGATCTTAAAGTATAGGCCTTTACAAGCAGGCCTAAATATCTATATTCTGAGATGTTTTTATACCTCTAACCAGCTAAGTGACTAAAAATACAAAGAATCAAAATCACTGTCTGCCTGTGTATGGGCCTTCTCTCCCTAGGCTCGCCTAAGAGCAAGGCCTCCAACTAAGGCCTTTGGCTAAACAGCAGGAGCAGCCATAAGCTAGGAAACCTATGGTCACAGCCTCACATTCCAAACCAGTCACATTGAAATAAGGTGGTATTGGGCTGTTATGAAGACAATCCTGTCCTGATCATTCCCATCACTACCAGATAAAGAAACAGATCTTAAGATGGTTAAAGAACACTTTGTTTGATTTCTTGCCAGATAGGATGCTATCACTTATCAATGGTTGTGGAACCCCCATTTCTGTATTGTTTTATCTTTATGGCCCCCCACTTTTCTATTGTTAATTTATCTGGTTCTCTAATAGTTTTGTCTGCTGTACAATTAATTTTGCTAGGTGTAAGTTAATTAGGGTAGTGGGATATAATTGGTTAGAAAATTGTTACAATGTGTTAGGACTAGTTAGTTAAATTTCAGTAAAACGACTGGTTACGGTATAGCTGAGACTATTACTATATAAACTGGGGTCAAACAGGAAGTGGAAGGGAAATTGGAATCATGTTTGCTAAGGAGGGAGAACGGGAACAGGGAATAACAGGGTAAACGCTCTGCGGCGTCAGAGCTGGGAAGAGAACACTGGGGAAAAGACTAATCGGCATATAGAGATAAGCCCAACTGGTGTGAAGGGCTTCAGAATATGCTTGCTTGGAAACGAATCCTAAACAAACATTGCATTGTGTGCACTTTGGACTTCTGGTCTTTTGCTGCTTGCTGTCTGTGTCAAGAACCAGGGAAGTGGGAGGGGGAAGGGAAAGCCCTCTAACACAAGCCTTTGCCATGTTAGCATTTACTTGATCTGTTAACTAACGTCATATGTATTTAAAGGGCTAAGGCCATCATCTACTTGATTCTGCAATTAACAGAAGAAATTATGACTTCAGTTCAGAATCAAACAGATTCCACTAGTCTTAATACAAATCAAAGGGAACCAAGATACCAGGTAAATAAATGTCTGCCCAAGTTTACTCTATCAAAATATCTTCACAACCTGATAAACCAAGTATTAATTAGAAATCATCATACCTCTTCAAATTTAAGCTTGACATCTTCAGAACCAGGGAAGCCACCACCAATATCAAGCAGATGCATACTGAAACCAAGCTCTGTCTGCAATGTTAAAATGGGACAGTCAAGCAAAGAAGTGATCCTTGAATAGTCTAACATAGGTCAAAACCAACTCAGTTTGAAGATTAAACTCCAAAAAAATCCATTTTACTGATACTTCTGACAAAGAAAACGGACTAGTAAATTTTTAACTTGCTAGTTCTCCTGCACTAGTGCTTTGTAAGAACAGGGAATGTTTAAGATTCTATATTGTTTTTGGTAAAGTTGTTTTTTTAAAAAAATTGGTCGCAAGATTTAGTAGGTCTTCCCCCCCCCACAAACTTAAATATTGGGTCAACTATCAAAGGATTACCAAGATTCAAAAAGTAACTGACCATATGACACTGAATACTAACTGTACAGGAAAGGTTATAAAAGCTTCTTATTTTAAGTTTTTGGTTCCAAAGTTGTACATTACTTTGTTCAAGTGGCATTTCATTCTGACAAGTCAGTTGTATGGTCAGTACCATAAAATAGTGGTCCAGAAGCAATGCTCTTAGGCAAGAGAATTCATACTTACTCCCATATCGAAGACACAACGGGCATCAGAAATAGCTTGAACAAAGGTCTCTGGGTCAGTACAGCCACTTCCAACATGGAAACTGGAAGACAGATGCAAATCTCAGTTGCCTTTTGGAAGATTTAAGTAACTATTTAGACAAAAGTAATATGTAGTAGCAGATTAAGGGGTCAGTTCTTGTGAGTGGGCAAGTCATTTACATTTTTATGTAGACCTTGATTACAATGCATATTTCTAGACGGATGTTTTGACAGTTTGTATATACAGATCAAAGTTATTACTAACCTGACTCCAATAATGTCAAGGTCAAGTTCTTTTGCCCGCTCCAGAAGAAGTCTGCTAGTTTTGAGGGTAGCTCCAAATTTAACACTCAGGCGACAAACTGCTTTGGAGTCATCAGTTGCGATGCGCAAGACTAGCCTAGAAACAGTGTCCAATTTAGTGTCAACCCTCTAGATTTTCTAGAGCAGCAGACAGACAGACAGACAGACAGACAGACAGACAATCTGGTTGAAATAGGTTTCAGGTCAGGAGAATGGGGTTTGTAACTTAGAGAAGGGGTTCTCAAATGTCATTGCACCATAACCCCCCCCCCCCAACAACAAAACTAGTCACGAGGGGGGCTGAAGCCTGAGCTTGCCCAAGTCCCTCTGCCCCAGGTGGGGGAACAAAGGCAAAGCCCGAGCCTCATACCTCAGGCTGGGAAGGAGGGGTAGGAAGGGTGTCAAAGCCAAAGCCCTGGGCTTCAGCTCCAAGCAGGGGGCCTGTAACCTGCACCCCACCACCTAAGGCTAAAACTCTAAAGGCTTTGACTCCAGGCCCAACAAGTCTAACGCCAGCCCTGGCAACCCCATTAAAAACAGGGTTACAACCCATTTTGGGGTAACAACCCACAGTGAGAACCGCTGAGAGACTTATAGCAAGTCAAATTTAAAACATTTTACAGCAAAGTTGGCTTAACAAAGGTGGACCTAATTTAACATGCAAGCAAGTTTGTATTGTCCTTGGTTCTTTGTAAGCCAGTAGGATACAAAACTGTACTTGACAGACATGTGTATCTGGACAGAAAAATGTCTGCGTTCTCTTCCAGTTTTGTGTTAGTGTTAAAAACTTAGAAATCAAGCTGAATGTGTGTGTTACCCAGGCACACAGCTAATACAGGGTAGGGGACTTTAAACATGTTAAGCCCATTAAGATGCACAAAACCAAGAACCCCTTACTTTGCCTTTGGATGAGCTCTTGCAACTTTCATTAGCTCTACTTCACTATCAAAAGTCATCATCTGCACACCACTGTTGGCAGCATGTTTAATTTGAGAGATTTGTTTGCAAGGATTTGCATATATTATTCGCTCTGGAGGTACACCAATGTTCTGTACCAACTGGATTTCAGTCTGGAAAAAGAAGAAACAGATTACACACTACTAGCTAGAAAACAAATGGATGATCTCATCCAGAAAGTGTGTGAAGATGCAGCACTGACAATCAAGAAACACTCCTAGTTGTTTCAGCTTTGTTTGATTGTATGCAACATCCATATATGAAGTTACCATCAAAAACTGAAGATCTTACCTTACTAGCACAATCAAACCCTGCACCAAGGGCAGCAAGTGTCTTCACTATAGCTTTACTGTCATTACATTTGACGGCATAAAAGGGTGTTACTCGAGGGAGTGCTTTGTACCATCGGAAATGCTTCTTTAGGACATCCCCAAGGTCAGCAACATAGAAAGCATCTTTATCATCCTAAAAGAAAAAAAAAAAACAGAACAGGTCATCTTCAGTTATGCCCCCTAGCTCAGTGTTCTGCAGAGTTACAGTATAGGATTTTTTGAGCAGAAAGTAAAACTTAGAAATATGGTACAGAGTACAGTTAACATAAAATTGTATTTTAATAAAATGCACCCATGTTTTGCTAGCATACTTACAGAGGAAGAAACTTCATTTATTTTTTGGTCTAGAATATCCTTGGCAGTAAAGCCTTCATCAAGGAAGGTGAAATCAAACTCCTCATTGCTGAAGCTGTTCATTGTTTCTAAGAGTGTAAGTGCAACAAACTGTGGATATCGAAAGAAGTATTTGTTAGTTCATTCAAATTAGCAAAGACACACACACACACACACTAAATGATAGTCAAGATCCACAAACTTACATGGACAACTAAGAAAAATCAGCTTTGTTCAAATTCTTTCAACTGTGCGCCCAAAGACGTGCTTCAGAAAAGCAAATAGATCAAGGCAAGTTTTCTGTCCTCTGTGCAGCAGTTGTATGATGTTGCATTGAAACTGTTACAAAGGAAAAAAAAAAAAAAAAGAAGAATTATGTAAAAAAACCCTAACTTCCATATCAAATTTATTGAAATTGTCATTTTTCTACTTTAGAAACAGGAATACATTGAAGAGTACACACTATGTAGAGCAAGTTATATAAAAACATCACAAGTATTTTTAAACATGCCTGTTTACTACCATTCATCATTTCATCTCTCCAGTCACTCTACAGGTAGTTAGATATGCAACAAACATTTGGCCAAGTTATGACTCTGAAAATTGCTATCTGTACATACTCTGAGGTTGGCAGCTAAATTCTCTAAAAATTGTTTACAGAACATGTTCCAGACCAGGGAGTGAATAGGCCTTTCCCTGCAATTGCTCCACATGGCTGCCAAGTTGGTGTGACAATAAAGGAGGACAGGAGATGGTTTCTCCTGTTCAGCCAATGCTTTCCCCACAGGCACACAGGCATCTGAAGAGAAAGTAGCCTCACTCAAATGCCAGGGAACAAGGGCTGAAACCACTAGAGAACACTCCCTTCCAGAATCTGGAACTGAACTTAGAAGTCCCAAGTCTCCGTTTTCCTCAGCTGTCTAACAAATAGCTGTGAAACTCATTAGTCAAGTATATGTATTTCATGCATCTCTACAGTCTGGTCCAAATGGAGGATGGCAACCAATTATTTTATTAACTCAAGTGGTAGACATCTGTGCTGTGAATCTAAAGACCCCCAACCTTGGTAATGATTTTGGCAGAGCTTGATATGGTTCCACATGACCTTTAAAAAAAATAAAAAATAAAAAAAACCCACACACACCTCTTAGGAAAATACATAAAACACTGCAAGTTGAAAGGGTTATGGCTGCAAAATTTAGTACTCAGGAAATGCCCTAGTGCTGTATACATTGGGGGTCTTTAATTACCATTAGCCTCTCACCTCTCCCAGAACCTTCCTTCATTCAATGGACAGGAAATAAATTGGGGTTGGATAGTCTAGTCAACAAGGCTATTGTCTGTAAGACTGCTGCCTCATCTGAGAAGTTTGGAAGGTCTTTAACAAATGAGGCAGGGGACTTTTGGAAGAATAAGGCAGCTGAATGCAACCCTGGAGAATTGGCAGATTCTCTCCCTGTCTCTGCCACAGAGTTCCTATGCAAGTCACTTAAACTAAACTTTTTACAGGTGGTCAATTATGTACTCATTTTCTGGGTGCCCAGTTTGAGACAAATGGAAACCTGATTTTTAATCATGTGCAACTGACATCTATGTTCAAATCACAGCTCCCTTTAATTGCTATAAAATGCTAAATAGTCACATTTAGTGAGTCCTGTTTGCCATATGCATTGAAAGAAGCTATGGAAAAAAATTGTGCATCATGTAATTAAAACTGTATCCTAATACACAAGGAGGCTGAATTTAGATTGCACGGGCAACCTTAACTCTGGTATTTCCTAACTTTCGCATCTTGACTTTGCAACCTTAATGTTCTTTCAACAATTACTATGACGAAACGAGAGCTATAATTTCATGTTATCACCGAACTGTTCTACCGGTAGTTTCAGCGCATGCTTGAGTTAACACACAGGAAGTCTGCAGCATCACTTTAGCGTCTATTTCTGCATGCAGCTTCTTACAGATTAAGTCTTCTAAACGAACACACGGCCTGCATCCCCCCAGGAGTACTGACATAGGTGTCTAGTTCACAAAGAGAAAGTTCACATCCAGCACTATACACCTAGAAGTTCAAGTTAATGTTTAATTCCTTCGCTCCAAAGTACTACGACCAACAGCTACACGGAGATCCCCCGGCCCAAGGAAAGCCCCCCTCATTAACAGCGTCGCATGTTTTTCAAAGTGCAGATGATTTCAGGCATTCACGTGTGGGCCAATTTAAAGGAGCCAAAATAAAGGAAAACTTTGAAGTCCCCTTCCACGTAAGCGATTCAGGGCAGTCTACGTGCCCGCTGGTCTGGAGGGATCGCTACTGCAATCACCGGGGCGATTTTGTACCATTTCAACCGCGCGATCCCGTTGCGGTGGCCGGGCCGTGCCCGCCGCAGCCGAGATCCGGGGCCAAGCCCGCGGCGCAGGAGGCCACGTCCGCAAGGCCATGGCGGACCAGACCGGCTCTCACAAGGGACCGCGCAGCCCCTTGTCCCGGCACGGCTGGCGGCTCCGCGGCCCCTCACCGCCCCGCACGGGACGCCCCTTTTCTGCGCCTCCGGCTGGGTCATCGCCGCTGCGCAGCGCGGCCCCCAGCCCGTCCCTCCGCCGGGGCTGGAGAGACACGTGGCCCCAGCGGCCGGCCAGCTGCCTACCCCGCTCGCCCGGCCCCTCACCTCAGTCAGCGCCCGTCATGGTTCAGCGCCTCGCCCGGCAGCCGGTCGGCCCCCTAGTCCCGTGCCTCCTCCTCAGAGACGGGCCCCGCTGAGCTCGGTGGCTGCTGGAGCCGGAGTGGACGCGCCGCCCGAGGAGGAGCCGGGCTGGAGGAGCCGCCACAGGCGCTGCCGGCCGGCTTTAGAGCACTGACTGACAAAAGCCGTAGCGCCAGCAGAGCTCGTATTTATAGGCCAGACGGCGTCGCTATGACAACGCACCAGCTCAAACCAGCCCCGATCGGCTGGGACCGGGCAGGAGCCGCCGCCGCCGGCCGCTATTGTGACGTTAGAGTTTTCGAACACGCGCACGGGGTGCGCCACGCCTTCTCCTCCCACCCCTCAGGGGCCGCGTTCTAAGGCCTTGGGTCCAGACCAGTCAGGCAACCTTTCGCTGGCTCCTCCTCCCCCTCCTCTCTTCCCTGCTGGTGCTTCCATCCTCCCCGTTCTTCTCTGCTCCTGCTTCTTCGCTGCTGTTGCCCTTCCTGTGCACCCACTCCTGCTACCCCTGCCTTTGCTATTGCCCTCTCTGCTGCAATCCCTCCACCTGCTCCCTCTTTCCGTCCTGCTCCTTTTCCGGGATGGGTTTCATAACAGAGCTGGCGTGTTGAGACAGCTCCCAATCCCCCCTTCCTGGCACTGGGATTTCCATTGAAGTTCACATCGGTTTGCAGTGGTCATTGACTGGGAACCCCTTAAAAATCAACCTAGATTCAAATCTCAGCGGGGCAGTTTAGATTCGAATGCAGTGAGGGTCAGATCACCTTTTTCCCTTTCTAGAGTAAATAAATTGAGGACCATGTGTTGTCTTTCACTTGAGACAGACCTTAAAGACAGGTTCCGGTTAAAACTTTCAAAAGCATCTGTGTGATCTATGCCCAGATCCTCATTGTATTTAGGTTTCTAGCTCCCATTGATTTCAGTGGGAGTTAAGCATCTTTGAGGATCTGGGGGCTTAGGAGCCTAAGTCCCATTTCAAAGGGGATTTAAGTACTTCACAGACTTAGGCTCCTGAGTGAAAATTTTACTTCCTGTCTCTGAGTAATCATCAAAGAGACTTATACAGGGGAAGGGGTGTGTCCTGGTTTCCTGTGCCAAAATGTCCCTTCCCCTACTGTTAGTGTGTTGTACACTCATTTGTTGCTACTTTTCACCCCAGTAGCGGTTGTAGTTTCACAATACTATATGCAATCCTTTAGGCTGAAAAATGCAGTAGACGTGTGATGCAATTATTATTGTCAATAAGCTGCTGTATTGCAAGTTAACAATGTTATTGAACCAACAATTTTAGGTTTAGTGAAAATAAATATTTTGCTGCTACTTAATTTTCCCTCTAAAGTGTATGATTTGAACCGTGTAATTTGGTTATTTAATCTTATGACGCTTAGACCCGTTGGTGATATATTTCACACGTAAGGCATTGCACAACATTGTTTCTTTGTGTGGGTGTGTTTTTTTTAAATCAGATCATATTTTATGCCAGGAGTCTGCATAGTGGGACTATGCATATGTTAAGCACATGTGTCTTTGCAGAATCAGGGCCTAAATCTTTAACTGAAGTGTGCAGTACATGGAAGAAAATGACTTCCTGCACTCCAGCCAAATTCAGTTCTGGTGTAAGCAGACCCTTCACCAACCCTGTTAACACTATATCTGAACTTGACCCAATATTAATTTAAAAAGTAGGGGAGTAAGGTATATGTTGCTTAAAAATGTATATAGTACTAAAAATGTAGTTTGGGGGAGTTTAAGGCTAAGCCAAATATTGTCTTGACTTCGTTGAGAGTTGCTCATCCTATCTCAGGATTTAGCTCACCTGTTGTGAAACTAAATTTAACAGAGACAGTTTTCCCCCACTGATAGTTGCAAAACAAAAGAAAATTTAAACTATCTAACTGATCTGTTTCACAGTTTTCTGTTGTATTACATAAGGGGATTGTAATGATAAAGTCAGCATGATCTAACATAGAATGAAATCAGTGGCAAAGTTCCATTGACTTTAATAGGAGCAGAGTCACTCACACACAGAAACCGAAAATGAAGTGACACATCACATTTTTGGCACAAACTGAAGAAAGGAAATTCAGAGTCAAAGCTGACACTCTGGGCCAAATTAATCTTTAGTGTAATTCCACTGAAGTTGATGGAGTTACACTTGGGATGAACATCTCTTAAAGCTAACCTGTATATGCCTATATTTCAACACATGCTATGTATGTCAAAACTGTCATCTGTACACAGAGATGCCTGCCATAGCCATAACAAGGCAGAGGAAGGGAAATGGCTAGCAGCATCTAGAGGATGTTATGCAAGACACTTCTTAGAACTTTGACAATTTTTTCCCCTTGTTGTCTTGACAGTGAAATCTGTTTCCTTAGTGGAGTTATTTTGTCTCCTGGTACACTGGCTGGTTATTGTAGGGCTGCTTGCATGGGATTGGATTACTGGCACTGATTTTTTGTGTGTGTTGGTGGTGGGCTTTTTGTTACTAGAAAAAAAACCGAACAATTAAGGGGGGGAAAGTCACATATACATATATTGTCACAAATAATGCTCCTTTTAAAAGTAACAATTTTTTCCTCCTGGAGTGACTGCCCTTGCTACCATTCAGAGCGGCACTATATTTACACTGGGATTTCTTTTCCCTCTGCTCCTATTTTCAAAAAGTCCTAGATTAAACATTTTTTTCAGATGAAATTAAAGGATCCAATCCTGCTTCCATAGTGTCAGTGGGAGTGTTGCCATTTTCTTTAGTGGATACAAGACTGATTCCAAAGTTAGTAACCACAGGGCAGATTTTTTTTAAAAAAGTCTCTGATTATTTTTAAGAAAAGCATGAAATCTACAAGTAATTGCTATCACAAAAAGACAAATCAGGGTGACCTGTGCTCAGGTGTTGAGCATTTTCCTAATTCCCAAAGGGTCTGTTCCTGTTTTCATTAAAGTCAGAGTTTTGCCACTGTCTTCAGGAGTAAAATATAGAAATGACAAGTAATGAGAACAAAGGAGAAGATACACTTGGCCCAGATTCACTCCTCCCTCTTAAGCAGGTTAGGATTCTTGCATGGGGTGCCACAATTTGTAAGGACAGCCCAGCAAGCCGTCAGTTAGGGGTACTGTTGAAGCAGTGGGCCTGACTCTCTGCTGCATTGTGCCTTGTAGGAGTGGTTACACCTGTGAAAAGTTGATGTAAAATGCTGCTCATTGGTACAAGTGAGTGGGAAATGCTAACCAGGTAGCATTTTGCATCCAGTTTGCACAGGTGGAACTGACTTACACAAGATGCAAGGCAAGAGATACTCAGGCACAGTCAGGAAGGATAGTCTCTCATTGCTTGAGTGAGCCTCTTTGGAAGGCGGAAGGAGCTGCACCCAGCTCTCCTGAGGTCTTTTGAGAGTGATGCTGAAGAATAGGATCCCAGAGGATTCCCATTTATGGATTGTGTTATAGTGTGCACTCACCACCAGAGCGCCCAGTTGTGTCAGGGCACAGCATCGCAGGGACTCTTCCTCTCTAGCGCCCCCCTGTGTCCTAGTTCCACAATGGTCTGCCGCCTGCCAGGGAGGGCGTCTGTGCATCCCCTTGATGTCTGAACTTGCTGCTTTTCTCTTCCAGCAGAACACTTTCTTAGGGCAGGGTGTGAAAAGAGAGTGGGGCTTCCAGCAGGGGTCAGTGAATGCCTGGTACACCCTGTCACAGACTAAAATAAAGAAAAATAATTAGAAGAACAGGTAGATAAGAAACAGAAGAGAAGTTTGAGCAGCAGCCAATGAAAGGTCTGGGAATGCTACTGAGGTTGGTTAAAAAATAAACCAACTAAAGAAAAAAAAATCTCCAAAAATGAATTTTTTGAAATTGTGCGTGCGTGCACACGCATGCTTAATTTTAGGAAGGTTTCATAAATGATTAAATCCAGGAAGTAGTAGGGGGTGGGGGGAATCAAGCCTGCATGAAACATCAACATTAATTTATTTTTGAAGTGCTCCTTTCCATATAGACATTTGTGGTACTGCACAAAAATTATATATATCAAAACATCATCAATCAGGGGATGTCTAACAGAACCTCCCGCTCCCTCCCCCCGAAAACGTGGGGTGAATAGTTGTAATGCTGAAAACATCTCTGGGAATTTTGTTTAATGTGTTAGAAGTCAGGAAGGATGGACTGAGATGGATGCCACGGGGGTGTCACTTTAGGGCTCACTACAGCAAAAGTACAATTGCTTGCTGACCTAATATGGCCCCTAAATGACAGGTGATGTCAGAAAACAAATACTCATCAGGCTGAGGCCAAAAGAGACGATCATGGATATAACTTGGGCCTACTCCTTTGAGCTTTAGAATGCAGCAGGACCCACCTCAAGTAATTTTTGATAAGCATCCAAACTTTTGAGGTCACTTCTATTTATTGTTGGCCTGTTGCATAACTGATGCCTCACCGGGCCCCTCAATCTGTTATTTTTCCAGCCGTTGTCTGCTGACCAGCAGCTGTGCTAATGTGTCTCAGAAGATTCTGCTATATTGCCTATAATGGGTGTGCCATTCAGAGCCTCTTGGGGCATATCAATGCTATGACAGATGAATAGGCCACATTTTAATAGGTTCATTAGATGATCTAAATGCAGAGAGAAACTGGGGATGACAAGCAATTGTAATTAGATGGAGGGAGACCTGATCTCTGGATGAGAGAGCAAAGGCAATGAATATTAAGTAGCAATTATACTGAATAGGAAGGCAGGAATATGTGAAGGGGCATGGGAATGCAATCATATTTGGCGAGGGAACTCAAGGGATACAAGGGAAAGAGGTCCAGATAACAGCAGTGGGTTGTAGTTACCTGAGGTGCTGGTTCACTCCTAAGCTCTCCTGATGCTGTATTGGCTGCTTTAGAATTGCATTCCAATATTTGACGTATTGCATTATTTCCTTCCAAAAAAACTTTTTTGCTGGGTGATTATCTCTTGACCCCCTTGAAAGTGTTTGGTTTTAAGGGAGAATTGGGGGGAAGGTTAGGTTTTGCTGGGGAAGTATTCAAGTATATAAATGAGAAGAGGGCCTAAACTGGTAAAATATAGAAACACAAACTGTCATAAAATGCAATCTTTGCTTCTTACTTTGTCCTCCCACAGAAAAATGCCCTGGGTCTCAGTGCTGGCTGCCAACCTGAGATTACCAGTC